AATGTACATTTATGTGTTAGAAGAATGCTTTTTTTTTAAACAACTGCTGTCTTTCGAGTGTACATGATAGAAATCATCGGTTGCAGTTGCATGAATTCAGAAACGATTTTGATCGCTACCGAAAAGTTGTTAGTTTTCGGTTTTGAAAATCACAAATGAACTAACTCCCACCTGAATATTTGGCAGCGTTTTTTGACTCGAAAACGGCATACATGTCACCCTTCCTTATTGTCACATCTCTTGTGGCAACGATTCTCGCTTTGTTGCTGATCAGTTCCTTTTGAACGACAATGATTCGTCGATAGAAATCATCGATGGATTGCGACGGGAGTTGTTCGAAGAGCAGTAGCTTGGCCTGAAAATTCATCGAACATTTAGGTCGCTGTAGGATTGGAACGCGCATGTCTACATTCCAATTCCATTACCATGAGATGAGCAAAAACGCGATGGAAATATGACAGTATGCACTTTAGACGGGGTAAAATGAATGTTGCGAAGATTGATGTAATAAATCTGTTAAAATTTCCAAGTGTGCAGCAGTACCTTGTGTTGAAGTTGTCCCATTGGAAAATACGGTGGAAAAAGCGAATTCTCTTCATTGAATTTCACTTCTTCTATGTTATTCACCAATTCCATGTTCTTAATTGTATCGTAGCACTGAAATGTGAATTTTATAATTTGTAACATTTGCAAACCGATGCATCATTCCTTGTTGTCGATATCTTAATGCGTTTATGATCATTATGACTGCCATAAGTTGATCAACTCATTTTTGAATAGTTGCTTTGTTGAGCAGTTTGAGTACGTTTCTTTGCAGTGTTTTTCTCCAATATTTTGACATCGCCGCATGTTTTTACTGCACGAAATAAATGTTCGCAAAAATGAAATTAGATTTCGAACATCCGATTTGAAATTGTTCCGCTGGGAAATGTGCAGGAAAAGCGGAGAGATTCTCTTCGCATTTCACTTTCACGTCAGGTTTTTACAGCTGAATGAGGAGATTCTAGTTTTATGTAGCTGCAGTGGAGGAAAGGGAAAAGAATGCGCGAATGGGTTATTGCAAATATCAGTTTTGAAGAAAGGGAAAGTTAATGAAATGTTGTTTGTGCTGGCAGTCTGTTACATCATAGCATATAAGATGCAATTTCTTTTAAGCTAAACACTTTTTTCCGAAAGCCACTATGAAACAATTGCAGTAGTCAATTCCAATGTGCTGACAAGAACTTGAGTCTTTCATAAACACTCCATTGATTAGTGTAATGAATCTGGGCAGCTTGATACCACAATAAACTCGGAGAGTGGAAGCAGTTTTTTTTTGGATCTTTTTATACAATATAATTAGTATTTTGTTTTTGCTGTGAGTATTTTGTTGTGATAAGGAGTGAATTTATCACCCGCAAAAACTCCAATGCTCTCGTACTCTGCAGGGAAACTCCGGCATTCTGCAGGGAAATGTCTCTATGTGTTTGAACTGTGCTGAAGATTCGGCACATTGAATGTATTATCGGAAATTGTTGACAAAGGAAGAATATTAAAGATATTTGCAGCAATCTTGGACACGGAATGCAATTTTGCGAACGAAGTTGTTAGACACAAACCATTGGGCATATTTGGAAATTTTTCGGCTTCTCAGGTGTGAAGTCGTGAATGGCACTCCAATTGTTTGTGAACGGACTGATCGATGCCTTGAGCATCTGATCTGCAATTGATTGCTAATATCAGCTGTTCGCAATTGAGATTTGAAACACCGTTTCAGGACAATGTATTACTGTGCTATATGCAGATCCCGTGGATTTCTGTCATCGAGCGTAATCGAATGTGATTCTGCCGTTGCTACAGATGAAAACAACTTACGAAAACAACTTGCACATTATCTAAGTCTTAGAATGAGGCATTCAAATAAATTCGTTATTTTCTCCTCCTTTTCGTTCTTCACTCCGCCAATGAATAACGACTGAATACTGATATTTAGTGAATGTAATTTGCTCAGCAAAAGTAGCGATCCGAATGTTTCTTACGATAAGACATGCCTCTTGAAGGTCTTTTGAGAATTTATCGTCAGGATAGAAAAAGAGAGAGACCCTAATTTGTTATTTCTCAAGATGGCAATAATTTCTCCAATTCCAACACTTTTTTGCACTCTTAAACGCTGGAAATGTTCACACAGAAGCAACATAAATCACTAAAACACACTAAATTCAGCTTGCAGATGCCTCCTGAGAAATGAGTACGCGATGGAGGGAACATTTATGATATATTACACGAAATGATGCATTACGATAAAACTGCTATTCTCGTTCATTCGGTTCAGAGATACGTTCGTCTCAGCAAAATTAAACAGAGGGATCATCTCGAAAACGAAACCATTATCGTATTTTCACGGTCACACTTGCAAAATTCTAACAGATGGAAAGAACAATTTTGAAAAATTCCCCGAAGTATTAATCCAACGATTACTATCAAACCTTCTAATTTATCATAGAATAATGCGAGAGGTCGAAATCGCATCAGTCGACACGACTCGATAATTGGTCGCGTTGAACAAAAGATGAACACGTCGATATCCGAACAATCGCGCGATCGGAATTGTTGTGAAATGGTGAATATTGTGCAGTTGGCGCAATCTCTAACGAATACACTGCAAAAAAGCCCAGTAAACTATCCTCGTCTACTCAATTAAAACATGCCTTAAGCATGTCCTAAGCACAACAAACCTGCCCTTGCACGGCCCTAGTACAATCAAACATTTTTCGCAGTCATCGATGTTCACGCATGCCGTGTGATCGAGTACCAAAATGCAACACTCCTTAAAACTGACTTCATTTAGTGATTATTACAACAGCAAGAAAACCTGTGGATGGAATTCATTGATGTACCATTACACACTTGGTTTCGACATGTTAGAGAGTTTAACTGGGTGAATTGAACTTGATTTCAAGCTTGAGAAGTATTGAAACATTTTCAGAAAATTGTGATATGGTTGACTTCATGTTTTAGATGGACACAGAAAGCGGTCGGAGTGGACATACTTGAAAGTACCTTGCATTTATCAATTATGAATTGCTGGCCATTTACGTGACCATCAAGTTTTGCCACCACTTCACCGTGAAGATTCGTGAACTGATATTGCGATGGATCTGGACGCTCCTTGTCCCTCAAAATGAACAGCACTCTCAAAAGGAATTTTAATGAAAGCATAATTCATTCCAAACGGTCATCACATCCAAGGAGAAATGGAATGGAAGAAATGAGGCAATGTTGCTTGCAGGGTTTTTTTTTTAAATCTTCCTGATGTTCAGCGCTTTATGATCTCAAAGATTAGAAGAAATCTGGCAAGATCAGCAGTTACAGAACACTGACTCATTGTAACGTTCAAAAAAAATCAGTTTGATACTTCAACTTCTCCAGGAAATGTGCTTGATTTGTTGAAAGCGGAAATGAAATTCAAATAACAAGGAAAGGATCCAACCGAAATAATTAA